GCCACCAACCATTGCCCGTACACCGCAAGGGCAAAAGCGGTCAGCACAAGACCATGAACCAGCTTCGTCATCACCTAAGAAGAAGACTATGCTCGACACTATGATGGAGAAGGCTGGCGTCGCAATGCAGCCAGTTGAGAAGTCGACCGTTCGGGAGGAGGACCGCAAGCAAACCTCGACGTCTCCCAACATGTGGAGCAACAACGATGCTGATGATGACTTTATGAGGTCGGTTCGCGAGACACTCAATGGTCTCGATGAAGGAGCACAATATTCGGATCTGGACTGGCCTATCGATCCCTCGCCTGACATGACACCCTCGAGTTCCAACTCCGGCACCTCAGCGGCCACTTCCAACTTCACCGACATCAGTGAGCATGATCGTCTCAAGATCATGTTTGAGAGTGATCCATTCGGTCTTGGCTCTGGTATACAATTCGATCTCGGTGATGACCTTGGCATGGGTATCATGGGCATTCAGTCTACATTCGACAACAAGAAGGAGAATCAGGATAAGGCCACACCACCACCAGATGTTAGTTGGGACGCCCTATTTGGGGCCAACGCTGGTTTGGACAAAAACGACATGAACTGGGACAAAGATCCCATGGGTAACAGCATTTTCGACGGCGTTACCTTTTCCGACATTTGACCTCGTGAAATCGGAGTTGCGGGGCAGGCATTAATGTATTTTCAAGCGTGGAGTTTGAGCGTGTTTCTTCTTCTTGTAACCAGAACAGTGGTATTCATAACAATACCAAAAGCACTCCTTGAGAGTCACTCTACAAAAGTCACTCCTCGAGAGTCAGTCCATGAGAATCACTCCATGAGAGTCACCCCATGAGAGTCAGTGTATGAGAGTCGTTCGATTTTGCTGGTCTACGCAAGTATAAAACCTCCACCTCCATCCACCTATACCATTTCCTCTTCATGTTCATCAACAGTTGCCTCCTTCTTCCAACGTGATCAGCATCTCATGCTTTCACATGCGAGTATGTTAGGTACCTTATTACTTGATGCATTCTATCGATACTGACCTCTACTATTCATAGTCTTCCCAACAATGACTCTTGCAGAGCCAGGTCACTCTGGCAATTTCGCGCTACGTTCTGCGGTATTTATCCCTCGGCTAATTATGGTGCCAGACTAATTCTTATGTAGCATGCTGCTGCGAAGTTCCTCGTGACTGCCTTCCTGAGAGTGACTCTCACTGCGGGTGTGCCCGCGTTCAACATCAACAGCCCCTTCCTCAACATTGCATGTTCATCGCCAAGACCTCTGGTCGTGGTTGCCTCTTTCCTTCATGCCAGATCGGATCAGAACTGAATCCTCGCGCGTTGTCGTCTTCCCACCTTACTTGAACACGCATGCTCCTACCAAACAGTGGTCTATCGCAGTGCTAGTTTGCAGACATAACTGGGTATATAACACAGCATGTCGGCCGAGAAACGATCAGCGGATACAGATGTAAGTAACCTTCCCGAGCAAACTCGACAGCTCACTGACACTACGGACATAAGAACGATCGTCCGCTCGTCGAAGATTTCGTGCAACATATCATCGACACCCGCGACGACAACGACAATGGCGCATTTATCGTGGCCAGTGAAGCAGTATCCGAGGATCTACGCACTGAACGAATGATCGGCAATCCCAAGAACATCGACCATCAACTCTACATCTCACGCTTCCTGGAAGCCGTGGAGGAGAGTCACTCTCAACCACTGAAGGAAGCTACTTCTGCCCTCTTGACAAGAGCAGCCTCCCTTCGCCAAAGCAAGGATTCCACACCCTCCAGCGCTGACAGCAAATCCCGTTTTGCGTGGCCAACCAGAGGAACAGAATTTAACAAGGACTGGGACAACCATGCGACTCGACTCGAAGCTCTCGGTGTAAAGCCAAAGTACCTCGCCAAGTTTTCCGGAGACTACACCTCTCGCCTTATGATCGTGCTCTGCTACCCTGTCAAGCTCAACATCGAGCAGCTCGATGCCTGGACGATGGTCGCTGTGCCCACTGCCCCTACCATGAAGATGGTCGGATCCAAACTCGGAACGCCCGTTGACGAAATCCAAGATGTGTTCATCATGGACATATACTCCGAGAAGATACCCGTTCCTGATAGACGTAACAAGAGCATCGAACAACAACCATGGAAGCTCTTACCATCGGAACAGCAAAAGGCACACTTGGATTTCTTGGATCAATCCTACAGCAAGGCCAACGCACATGTCTCGATCATATCTGGCCGAGTCGCGTCAGACTTACACCGCCAACAGAATCCAAGCGCAACTCCCATCCGACTCTCCAAGGCTGTCAAGATATTCGGCAAGTTCGAACATGCTCGGCTTGAGCGAGACTCTCGCTCGAGAGTCACTCGCATCGCTCTCATCTCCTATCACCCAGAGGGAGTCATGTGGTGCAATGATGAAGATGTCCTTAGCCTGCTGGATGAAGTCTGGACACTCGCCTGTGCTCTTGCAGGACGCAGCATGTCCAACTGTGACCTGTTCGTCTGGTTTTTCAGGACAAACCGCAAGCCATACCCTGGTCGCCTTACTACGACAACTCGGCCGGACTGGCGTATCATCAGCCTTGGTTGTTGCAGCATTCTTTGGGTTGTTATCCGTATCGTCGCGTACGAGAAGGCCAACGATGAGAGGTTCTCGTTCGATGAGGTGCCACCACGAGTCCAGGCTGAATTCATGAGGCACAACGTAACGGACAATGGTGCTGCTACCCTATCCCAGCAAGTTCTCGATATCTGGCGTGCCAGAGGCATCGCAACGATTGCCAGGAAGGCTGCGGTTCGCAGAGAAGAGTGGGCAAAGCTCGTGCCGTTCGAACAACTCGATCGTAGTGCCCAGGAGCTCATGAGTAATGCTGATCGCCAAGCTTATCGGTTCAAAACGAATGCTCCAGCACCCGCTCTCAGTATCCTCGACAGGAGAGCCAGCGATGCCGACCTCCACACTATTGATCCCGTCGCTTACCTGCAGCTCATTGCGAAGCGGATAGCCGACAACCGGAGAAGAGTCGTGAACAGAGAGAAAAAGCGAGTCACTCTCGCACAGCGAGCTGAGCTGGGACTGCCTGAGCTCTCGTACACCAAGATCAAAGAACAGCGAATCGAGGAGTTTCGGACAAAGCAAGCACAGGAAGATCCTGTGGCAGCTGCTCGAAACCTCAAGCACCGCACCGTATACAACCCACAGAAGAAGGCTGGGAAGATCAACACCAGAGACCGTCTTGCCTCGATCAACACCGAACGCGAGAAGACCGGTGAGGTCAAGATGTCACTCAGGCAGCTGAATGAACTTCAGAAGGAGGAAAAGGCTGAGCAGAAGCAGCAAGAGTTGGAGTGGCTGAAAGTCAATGACCCGTCGAAGTACAAGAAAAAATCAGCAACAAAAGATCTGACGACAAGCGTACCGCCAGACGTCGTGCAGAGGCCGCAGGGAAGAAGAAGAAAGGTGCGATGGAAGCTGAGAAGTCAGAGTCACTCTGAACTGCTTCTAGTTGACCGGTTCTCAGGCGTTATCGCGATTGTGATTGGCAAATGAGAGTCACTCTCACCGGCGCGGAACGATGGAGGCATTAATCAAACTTATGAGACTTGGTCATGGGTGGTATGGGTAGAAGGTTGTGGTTAGCAGCGCCACGTTAATGGTATCGGAATCATGAGATAGTCGGAGGATTATATACATTGCTCGACTGCGGACAAAGAGTTTTATTTGCATCTTAAATGCCACAGAATTCCAGATTCATGTTTTACCACTACTTGGCTTCCGTACATGGCATTCAACGCATTGCTGAGGCATGGGACTATTGTTTCCATCGCCTGCCTGACCGAAAATAATTGACACCAATAGGAATAGAAGTAACAGTGTTTCCCGCGTCGTGACCTTTTCCGACATTTGATGTGGAAGAGAGGAGTTTTTCCTTTTGATGGCGGAACCCACACATTTGATGCATTTTTCTTTCTGAGCGTGGAGTTTTTGCTGTGTTCTTGCTGATATGGGGGCCTTGAGCAACTGGCCACAAAGTTCTGTGATGCCCACCAAGTACATAGTCTAGCATTGATTCCAACTTGATAGTTTTGCTGTTCTCCGGAGCAGTATTTTCAAGATTTTTGTCGTCGCCTCTCTCTCCATGTCCTCAATCAACCTATATGTGACTGTAAAAATACACGGTAGTCTTTTTATCAGGAGTGTCCAAGGAGAGTTGCTAAACCAGTGGCTCTCAATGGCCTCTGTTCTTTTTTGATTACCCTTCTGCATCTTTATAGCTTGAATGTTCCCTCATGCTATTGTGAGAGAAATTCGGGGATAACACTCCTGCCCCTTATAGCCGTTTATGTCTAGGTCCTTGTATTCTCTCCATGTGCGAAACCATTCTGCATATAGCTATAAAAATGCATAACACTTTCTAGAGGCAGAATCTTGTCCTCCGAGAGCCTGTCAAGGCAACCCCTTGTCTCTAACCATTTCTTGACAAAGCAGATAAGATGGTGGCTTTCTAGAGACAGTGTTGCAGCTCGCACTTGATTGTGCAATTTGATAGCTATGGATTTGATTCACTGTATAGTGAAGCGGCTTTTAGGCGACAGATTGATTGTAGGAGTTTTTGTTATCTCTACAGCTCAAATATCTCCATGCCGGTGCCAGAGTGAGAGGAAAGCAATAGTGACTCTCGAGAAGCAGTGTTGGCATCGGGCAGTTCTACCCGAAAAGGCAAGTTCAGGCGAACTCAAGGTGGCGGATAAGACCCTGATCCACGTCGGCGGAGCGTCCGACAGATAGGCAGGAGGAAAGCGATGGCCGACCGCAACGACCGAAAGGGCAACCACGACCGACAACTGTAGGCCATATCTAAGAGGTAGGCGCGACTCTACTTGTGCTTTCGTCAATTCATATCCTTCCTTCACAAGTCACTCTACACTATAGACAGCCATCGTTCCTTCCATACCACACCTCTCTAGAGCATACGCATACACAACCATGGCACCTTCAGCCGTCTCAGCCCCCGAAACCACAATGGCCATCAAGCCCGCCAAACTCTCAAACCCCGGCCTCGCAGTCGAAAAGAAAGAAAAGACACCCCTCGAAGCCATCAGCCAAGGCGTCTGCCTCGAAGGAATCCCAAAATACATCTCCTTCGACGCCCACCGTCGCGACATGCTGCAACACATGGCCGGCGCCTTTCGCGTGTTTGCCCGCAAAGGCTACACCGAAGGCATGAGTGGCCACATTTCCGTCCGCGACCCCGAGAACATCCACACGTTCTGGACAAACCCTCTGGGCAAGCATTTTGGACTGCTCAAGGCGAGTGATATGATTCTGGTGGATTATGAAGGCAATGCTATTGGTGGTAACATGTCAAGGCCGGCGAATGCGGCGGGCTTCTTGATTCATTCGGCGGTGCACAAGGCAAGACCTGATGTCATTGCTGCTTGTCACACACATTCGCCATATGGAAAGGCGTGGAGTACATTTGCCAGACCTCTCGAGATGTTGAATCAGGATGTCTGTTACTTCTACGGCGAAGCTCAGGCCGTCTACAAGGAATTCGGCGGTATTGTGTTTAACGAGGAGGAAGGGCTTAAGCTTGCTAGCGCTTTGGGACCCAAAGGCAAAGGTATGATTTTGAGAAATCATGGCTTGTTGACTGTGGGCAACACGGTTGATGAAGCTGCGTATTTGTATACGTTGATGGAAAGGAGTTGCGAGGTTCAGTTGCTCGCTGAGGCGGCGTGTGCGAGTGGTATCCAGAAGGTCATCGTGCCTGATGAGTCTGCCGAGTACACCTACAGGATGGGCAGCGATGCTGACACTCTGTACGAGGAGTTCCAGCCCGATTTGGAGTACGAGGACGCCATGACCAATGGCGACTTCAGGAACTGAGAGCTTCACGTAGTAGTTGGTACGTAATTCATTTTCACGAATTCATGGTTTGTTTTCTGTTACATTGTCGAACTTTTGTATTCTCCAACAGTGTCTGTAGCATGGTTTATCTATGACTACTGTATCCCAAGCCCTGCTTCATATATCGACATCCAAAGTCACCCTGCTTGTTCGAAAGGGCTTCCATGTATTTGAGGTGTGCAATTATCCTGCTGGCCGTTCTGGATGCGTCTCTTGTTCGCGCTCCTCCCTGCTGTCCAGAGATGAATCGCCCCGTGCGACAAATGAAGAACATACTGGCTCTGCTCATAGGTTTCGAGCCTTGACAAACCAGACTTTGCATTCCCAACATTTAACAGTAGCGACGTCTCTTCTGCTTCGAGCCAAGTGCCTCGAGCTTGCGCTTGCGTTCCAGTTTCTGACGGGTGAGTGCTTCCTTCTCGGCTGTAGACAGAGAGACGGGCTCCAACTTCGTTTCTGACTCGACGGACTCGTCTGGGTTGATGGCTTTGTCACCGTGCTCGTCTTTTTCTTTCTTCCTCTTCATCTTCTTCTCTCTTTCTCTTCTCGGATTTCTCTGTTCGTGAGATCAGGCTCTNNTGAGTTGGCGCTGACGTGTCCATCTCTTGTGAGGCTTGAAGAGTAGATTGAAAGGACTTCCAGGCGAGAGTGCGTGAGTATAGTCGGCCCGAGCCTCCTTGTTCTCTTCTTCTGATTCGGCATATGTCTTTGCGCGTGGAGTGATCATGACTTCCTTCTTGTCGCCCTCGGCATCATGCCTCTCGATCGGATCAAATTGACAAAGATTCATGCCATGAATGAGCTTCTCTTGACTAGTAGAGTCGAGAATCGGGAAGTTGACATCGAGCACCTTCCAGGGGAACGGGAAGGCACGAAGCAATCTGTGCTCGGCAACGACTTTACCCTGGCGGGGGACTTGGGTCAGGTTGTAAGTTTTGTGGATTGCGAACTCAGCATTTCTGAGATCGGGCCACAATGTCTACGCATGTCAGTATTTTGTTGACAGATGGTTGTGCTGGAGAAAACTCACCTTGATCTCCGAGACAGCTTGAGCCGCGTGCTCTTGCGTGAACACTTCATCAATGGTGATCAATTTGCTGAGGGCAGCGTCCGGCACAAGAGTCTCAGAGGCAGCAAACTTCTCGTCTTCATCCTTGCTCAACACGAGGCTACCCTGGGATTCTACCATTATCAGTCGAGTCTTGTGTTTGTCAGTAAATGGGATGGTGTTTGCGTATAGCAGATGGGAAAACTCAAGATGCACTGATGTCACCAATGCAGTCCTCTGACGAGACAATAAGCCTTGAGGTGACGCTGTTTCCGATGTGAGAAGGGGGCGATGAAGAGGATTTGAAGAGAAAACAATCAAAAAAACATGCATGCACCAGGCTTATGTAAGAGATAGGACATGGTGTTCACGGATGTGCTTTCCTGGACAAGATGGAGAATACGAATGTCCCCAAGACAACCTACTCTGCGACTGCGCTTTCCGTTCGTCGCTGTCATGTACTGGAACTTCAAGTGTAGAAGACTTCTAAGTGACTCTTGAATAGGTCTTTCTGGATTGACGAAGTAGTTTTTGGGAACATATCAAAATCGAAGAGTGCTAAGAGATATTACATCAGTACAGTGGTCGGGCTCGAAGGCCATGGAAAGACAGTGGTGGAGACATGACTTGAAAGTGAAATTGATCGTGAAATATTGACAGTACTTTGTCTCGTATAATGGAAGAAGAAGACATGTACGCCAGGATGTATTTTCCTCTCGTAGTCGGCATATCTAGTCTCAGACCTAGCTGATTGTGGAATTCAGGTCTACAGCAGAGTCTAAGGGGAAAGGAGCACCCATTCGTAGTTGATAGCTTCTCTGATTCATCAATATTTGGAGTGCCATCTAAACTATGTAGACCAGCCAGAGTGACTCTCGAGAGCCAACTCTCGTTGTAGCACTTCTCCCCCAAGCTTGTGTCTTGCTTCTCAATCCAGATCTCAAGTTACTTAGAAATGTCCCTTTCAGACTTTCGATTCTTCTTCTTCTTATTCGAGAATGCCATCTGTGGCTGATTCGTAGGCCATGCTCATGATCATACCATTGATTCCATCTCTGGCCTCCCTTATGGTAGTCATTTGATACTTCTCGTAGAATCTCCGGATTTCATCGTGTATGGCTGCCTGGACATGACCATGTGCCATCATGGCTCCATCTGCATCCGCCTGTCCTCTGAAGTATTCAAAGACATCGCCTTGGGTACCGTATGCGTTGACACCAAAGCGTTGCTTCATAGTGTCATGGAAAACCTCGTTGTTGTCCAGACAGGTGTCCAGAGCCTCCACGGTTGCACCTAGAATAACGAGGGCTTTGTCGTCGCTGACCTTCTTGGTGGCGGATTCCACATCTCCAAGCATGTGGAGGCTCTGGTCGCGACAACGCTTGGCCAGGTCTGCGAGAGTTCCAGTCCAGTTATCCGCATCGTAGTACCATCTGACTAGGAATGCTCGGATCAATCGGTACTGTAACTGTGTCTTGGCATCACGAAGGGCTTGAGCGATGCTATTGATATGCTCCGGGGTAAACTCGATATCGTAGCGACCAGAGAGGTCAGGCCAGCTTCCCTTTCTTGTATTAGCACTACTCGAGAGTCACTCTCGATGTCTCTACTTACTTGGATCTCCGCGATGACATTGGTGGCCCAATCAGATTGGAACTCTTTCTCGATGTCTAGAAGACGATAGAGAGCTTGCTCTCTGAACTCAGGTCCATGTTCCAAGTCTTTGGTTTCGAAGCGCTTCAAAAGTCGCTTCAAGTCAGTGGTGACAGGGCCAAATTCTCCACGCTTGGCTGTGGGCTCGGTAAGAGCAGCGTAGCTTCGGAGCTGCTGCATGATCATTCTCGATTGAGGAGTCTCAAACTCGACCAACTCGCGACTACTTCCCGTGGTCTTGATGGTGGCAGGTTTCAAATTCAAGGCTCCGTGGATAGCTGTCTTCATGCGATTGATCGAGTCGGATTTACGGGCTGCGGCAGTGGGCAGGTCGTCGTCTCGGAACTCTGGAAAGAGGAAGAACTCGTCCAATTGAGCCTTGAAGATCTTGCACAGTCCTTCCTCTTCGTCGCCCAGGACACAATAGAACAGCTGCTCTCTAGCCCCTCCAGTGGATTCTCTGATAACCACTACCGCTCGGAGGGCCTTCGGATCGTTGGGAACGATGAGTTTTGTTCCAGCGTTGTTTGGACTTTCGGGGAGATCTTGTTTGGTCTTCTTTCTCTTGGATGTCTTCTCTTTGTTCTGCTTTGCAGCTTCGTCTTTGCCTTCTTGCTTGTCAAAAGATCTTCGATTTTGCTGTGGCGTTGGCCCACCCACAACACTGTTGCGGAGTCCTCGTCGATCTTGAGCTCTTCGTCGGATGGCTGCCATCTTATCTGCTGGAATTGACTGTTGGCGGATTTGATGGATGTCTTGTTGTCTGCTGTGGCGCCTTTTGCGCCTTGGACGCGCAGGATGCGACCCTCTCGCAGAGTTTCTTCGGGGATCTCATGTCGGTAGTACATGTCTGTACTATGAAGACGAGAGAGTTGGGTGAGATCGTACGTCTCTTCGAAGAGATTCGTGTCCAAGTCCATGTTCATGGCCATAGCTATCTGATAGGAGTATGAGTTGAATGTTGGAGCAAAATTGGCAGCGCCAGCTTACTTCCAGGAAAAGATGAGCCGTGCGTGTTGTGAAAACTCTTCAAGAGTGACAGAGTAGAATTGTGAAGTTTAAGTTAGTATGAGTGAGAGTGACTCTCAATAAAGGATTGATACGGTGAACCAGCACGCGCAATGTGTCGTGTATGCCAAGTTAGGAAAGTCGGGGGATGGAATTCATTGCTATTTTGTAGTTGACGACCAAGAGGAGGGAGGATTAGAAAAAGACCGCTCTGGGAGGGTCACTCTGGGAGGGTCACTCTGGGAGGGTCACTCTGGGAGAGTCACTCTGGCAGAGTCACTCTAAGAGAGTTAGCTCTCCGGTATCAGCTTTGATCCTAACTAAATATCATGTTCGACTCGCCTTCATGACTGGCGGCAAATATCTCTAGATCGAACTGCTTTGTGCAGAAAGACAAAGACAAAAACTCTCAGCCAAACAGCTCTCGGAGAGACCAGTCACTAGTCTTCTTCCTTATAATCTCACTGGTAAGAACGACAGGCTCACTCATCTACGTGGCTTTCACTTGATCTACACAAGCAACACGGAATTCAACCTTTCGTTGTTCTTCTCCATCTCCCTTCAACTCACACGGCTCGGTCGTCTCCTCTTTCTTGACCAGCATACAAGACATTGAGAGTCACTCCGGACAGCTTTTGCAGTCCGGAACGTCGTAAAGACAGAAAAACCATGTTTAGTCTCATTTCCAAGAAGCCACTAAAGCAGAAGGAGAAGTATGTGGCAATAGACCCTCTGCTCAGGAGATGCATCGAGGCCACTGAAGCGCTTTCTAGATCGTACGGGGATCTGGAAGCAGCGCAAGCTGCGCCAGATGGCGACGTGGACGAGGCACACGCAAAACGAACGATGGGCAAAATGCACGAGCTCTTTGGCACTATGGACGACTACATTCAACGCCCACAAAAGACCTCGGCAGACCCAGGACTACGCATCAATGACAAACTGAGAGGTTTGATCAGGAAGATCTACTATACCATCAACGATCCGGGGTTCGACCCCGATTCGAACGATCTCACAGAACTGAACAAAGCACTCAAGGATGCGGCAGCAGAATTCGAAGCAATGGACCCTTTTCCATCACTATATGTGCCTGTCCACAAGCCCAGCAAATACACTCACATGAACGGTAGGTCGAGTGGGTTTCTTACAAAGCGAGATACTAACAATGACTCCAGAGAGAAACCGCCAATTGCACTCGTCGAGAATGGGGGAACTGAAAGGCAGACTCGAAAAAGCCCAATCGGACGGAGTGCTGGCGAAACTTGAAGCAGACATACTCGCAAAAGCCGAAGCAATCAAACTTCGTGACGAATCAGAAGACGAAGAAGACGAAGAAGACGAAGAAGACGATGAAGACGATGAAGACGATGAAGACAAATCACACTCGTCTGTTTCAGGCAAGGCTTCCCTTTCTGGCAAGTCAACTCCCAGATCTCACAGCATCGAGAACAAGCAGTTGCGCGAGTCGGCCTCATCGGAACAATCGCAGGCCACTGCAGGCGCACAGATGGATTGGTCTGCTGATGGAGCTGCCACACAGTCTTCAGAACCCATGGATCTGGAGGAGCTCATTGACGTACAAGACGAGCGCATAGTTCAACTGACCACGGCTGAGAAAGACATGCTGTAAGAATCTCAGCAAACATGATTGGTATAGCCCGGCTAACATGTCAAGGGGAACAAACCTGTAAACCTTTTGACGCATCGAGAGTCACTCTCAACAAGACACACAAGGTCATAAGTTGGCCGAAGGTCATATCAGTGGCGGCAAGATAGCTCGTCTAGCTGGTAAATGGGATATGATAAAAGGGGCTAGGAAGATTACTGGGGAGTTGGAAGTGGTAAAAGATCAGATGCAAGTCAAGAGCTCAGTGTTCTTGGGTCAGATCTCCAATCAAGAAACAGTTGCATGTCTCCAATTTCACCTGTGTATCGCGTGGTGTTGCCATAGAATGACGAGGCCGAAGAAAAGGCTCTTAATGATTATGTTCACGAACAGACACGAACGAGGTCTTCCGGTCAGGTGAAGTCGCGACAATTTCTCTCTCTGGAAGACATCATTGGTCGCAACGACACTGTGCATTGTCATATACGTGTTTTCTGAGAATGATGTGGAGTGAGAGTGCTGCCGTTGAAGAGGCATGCGAGGGTCGAGGTGAACGCCAAGGCGGCTCCATCTACCCCACAGAATCGGGCTGACTTTGCCCTTTCCGTCCGTTTGGACCGTCTCGATCTTTGGAAAAATAAATCTCCATCAACAATTCATTCTCTTCCAAACACACCGCAATCATGGCAACCAAGCGTCCTCACAGCGAAGTGCATCCGTCACGTCGAGAACAAGTTCCTGGCCAAGAAAAGAAACGCAAAGTCAACCCGCACCCGCACCGCAAACTCGAGCGAAAGGCCAACCCAATCAACCCCATCAAGTCGCGCATCCGCAGTCTGAACCGTCTTTTACAACACAAGGAGAATCTCCCCGCCGATGTTCGCCTCAACCACGAGCGAGAACTCAAGTCGTGCGAGTGGGACCTCGCTCAGGCCGAGAGCCAGCAACGCAAGAAAGACCTGATTGGCAAATATCACATGGTTCGCTTCTTTGAGCGACGGAAAGCAGAGCGTCGCCTCAAGAAGCTGGAGAGGAGAGCCAAGGAAGGCGAGACCGATCTCGACGAGCAAATACACGAGGCCAAGGTCGACTTGAACTACTCCATGTACCACCCTCTTGACATGGTCTACTCAGCGCTATGGCCGACAAAAGGAAAGAAGGACGAGGATGGCAACGAGGTCGAAGTCGAGAAGCAAGGAGATCCAGACATGTGGTTGGTTGTCGAGAAGTGCATGGAAGAGGGCAAACTCGACGCTTTGAGAAATGGCAAGCTCTTGAAGTCTGCTCCTGCTCAACTCGACAATGACGATAGCATTGGCCAGAAGGCGTCGAATGCCAGAGCAAAGAAGGAAAAGAAGAACAAGAAGGACAAGGAGAAGAAGGCAGCACAGAAGCCCTCGAAGAAGGCCGACGAGGACCAAACTATGGGAGGACAAGACGAAGACGAGGACAGCGAAGGAGGCTTCTTCGAGTAAAAAGCATTGCATTTCTCATGGCGTACTGGGTCCGTCGTTCTTGTTACCTTCAGCCATTCTACTACTGTATATACCCATCATCGCAACCTTCAAATCCGACTACCGTAAAGACCTTGCTCCATATCTGTGCGATAAGAGAATCTGAGTACTGAAAACTAACCATGCTTTGTCGTGCAATAGTGTATGAAGACATTGATTTCGAACGTCTTGTATTTGTTTGGCTGTGCTCGAGCTTGGTGGAGAGACGCGCAACTTCGACCTTCACTTTCATGTTGCACCTCACAAACCTGTCGTAGCAAGCGTTTTTGTATCACCAACTTTGCAAGAACTGGTAATACTCCTGCACTTACCTTGTTTCTCATCCAACCTGAAACCCGTACCAGCTCAAGCGCCAACATTTACCGCGCGAGCTTTCGACCACACGCAGCTTCAACCACGCGTGCTTTTCCCATCATCGTCTCTTTCCACTACAAACACATCCATCACACCATCAGCAATGACTTCCCAAGCAGAGCGCTTTGCTGCACTGCTGGGCACTTCATCCGACACTTCCGCAGCTATCAATGGCGCAGCTCACAACAACAACGCCTTCTGTGAGACTGCTCCTATGGGCATGCAGTTCGTTCCCATCAGCGCCGTCTCCAAGTTCCCCTACAAATACATGAAGAGGTCACAAAGCGAGCCCGTCTCCGTTCAATTCTTTGCTGGTGGCAAGTTCTGGGATCGCGATTGGGATCTGTAAGTTTTGCTCAATTTCTGTGTTTTTCTACTTCGTATGACCATCCCCACATGCACTCACTGTCTTTCTTTAATAAGCACATGCACAGTTGCAAGTTGCGTACAGCACCCACTGTGCTGGTCTGCTTTTGTTTGAAGCGGTCACTCGGTCTTCATTTGACCGCTATGGTGTCTGATTGGAAGAACACGATCATGATTTTCTGACCAAAGACTGATATCTGGTAGGTGGTACATCTACTCGCCTTACTATCACTCTGAAAGACCCATCATCTTTGTGCCTCTTGCACAATTCAAGCAACTGCTTAAGGAGATCGACGGTGCATACCCGAGCTACGGGGTCCGCATGCCAGACAGTCCCGAAGGTAGTCTCGTTTTCCCCTTCGAGTACAGCGAGCACCACCTCCTCAGACCTCACTTTCTGGGCAAGTCGTCGAACAAGGATGACTTTGAACATCTGAGTAACAGCGCTCCTCACTTCACTCCTCTTGCAGCTGGTGAGACTGATCCCGAACACATTTCCTACTTCAGAAAAGACATGGATGCCGCCGTCGATGCAGGAAAGAACAAAGGCAAGGCCAAGGCCGCAAAGGAGGCAACGCAAGAAGTACGAAACGCCCAGCAGCAAAACATGCGTCGCCAGGTCGAACGCACTCAGGTCGCCCTCGGCCTTGCTCCACCATCAGAAGACAACCCCGACCTCGATATAATTTACATTGCCGTCGATGTCGAGTCGTACGAACGTAACCACAACATGATTACCGAGGTCGGTTTTGCTACCCTCGACACACGCGATCTCAAGGGCATCCCTCATGGCGACGCTGGCAAGGACTGGCACAAATTCATCCGCGCCCGTCACTTCCGCATCAACGAGTACAAGCACTACACCAACTCCGAATTCGTCCGCGGCTGCCCCGACCAATTCGAATTCGGCGAGAGCGAGTTCGTCGACTTGAAGGACATGCCTCGCATGATTGCTTCATGCTTCAAGCACCCATACAGTGCAAAGGATGCCCACTCTATCAACGAGGAGGAACGAGCAAAGCGCACGATCGTCTTCCTTGGCCACGACACCAAGCAAGATGTCGCTTACCTTCGCAAACTTGGCTACGACCCTTCTAATCTGGCCAACCTGTACGAAATCCAGGACACGGCTGCCATGTGGCGTGCCGTCACCAGCGAGCAATCCACCCGCGGTCTGTCTCACATCATGTACACGCTCGAACTCGAGTCTTGGAACACCCACAATGCTGGCAACGATGCTGTCTACACTGTGCACGCCATGATCGGTATCTGTATCAAAGACCTGCAGAAGAAAGCCGTGTCCACCAACGACGACGACGAAGGTGGTGTGAGTCTGCTGCCAGAGAAGAAGGTTAACGTCGACAAGGAGATCAAGAAGATCACCAAGAAGTTTGTCGAGTGGGAAATGTGAAAAAGGCACAAAGAAGACACTTGATGACATGAGCATATGATGTGGTTTGAGAAAAGTCGAGAAAGGGAGATTTGATGCTTGCTCGTTTGCTATTGATAAAGACAGAAGATGGTGTAGTTCTACAAAGCAGTCTCCAAATTTTGACTCATTCGATGCTCTCTTTGGGTCATTACTTTTCGCTTTTACATGTTATGTCTCTCCTAAAGCTCATACTGCGGCCTGTTAGAGTTGGCTGAACAGAGTATTCAGCAAATCATATGCACGCAACATACCAAGAGTCAGAACACGTAAGAGACATGAGGCAGATTGGGAAGGAATGGATCGAGGGCTAATGGACGCTGAGGCAAAGTAATAAGGCTGTCATTAAAGATAAGACAAAAGTCAAGAGCAATATAGGATGTAAGGGCTGCAGGGCATAGGGAAGTAAGAGCGAACCAGAACCGAACAGAAAACAATGGAAATGCACCCGACAGTGCTTTCCCATCTCTCCTTCACTTGACGACAGCAAAGAGGAAACCGTCATGACTGCCCTCTCCAACAGTCTGGATGACAGTAGCAGTAACCCTTTCGTCTTTTCCTGCATTCTCAATGACCTTTCTGGCGCCCGCAACATACTCCGGATAGTCAATGGGCTTGTCTTCACTGGCGATCAATCCACCCTGGACAACATTGTCCACGATAACGACAGCCCCTTTTCTGCACCCTTTGATAGCGGCATCGAAGTAGTTCCAGTTGTTCTCCTTGTCCGCATCCACATAGACCATGTCGAACTTGGGCAGTCTTCCAGCATCAATGTCGGAAAGTACAGCGGAAAGCGTCTCCATGGCGGGTCCCACATGAACAGTGATTCGATCAGAAAGCCCGGCGTTGGCGATGTTTTCTCTGGCTACCTCGACATGGTGAGGATTGTACTCAAGAGTTGTGACCTTGAGATTGGGGTTCTCGGAAGCGAGCCAGATGCTTGCAAAGCCACCTAAAGTGCCAACTTCGAGACAGTGCTTCGTATCGATGGCTTTTGCTTGGAGGGCGAGGAACTTTGCAAAGGCGCGGGAGGAGTAGATGGCGGGTAGGTCTTGGTCTAGAGAGTTGGCGAGCGTGCTTTTGAGGATGGCGCTGTTGTGTGCAGTTGGAGGATCGAGATGGGAGAGGGTGTAGAGGTCTGTGGCCATCCACTTCGGACCAGGAGCTGGACGGCGGACGCCCTTTGGTGGCACAGATGCTTGCTGCTGCTCAGTCATTGTGTTGTTGGTTGGGTTGGAAGATGGATAGAGGAACAGGTAGATGTGTTTGATGATGATATAAAGATGGAGTTGAAGATCGGGGAAGAGTACGACTTAGTCTGAAGGTCGCCGAATCCAGAAGGAGCTGGTTGAGGTTGTCAATGGCTCCTGCCTTCGCTTCTTTTACATCTAAACCGCAATTCGTCACATGCAACTTGGGACAAAGATTCCTGTGTCAGAATGCTACCACACATACCATCATAAGAATGCACAGTGCTTTCACGAAGCAGAGCAGCTTCCAGAGAGAGCTGTTAGCCCAACGACATTCCCTGGACACACTTGTAGTACTGGTCTTGATCATGGATTTCATCGGCTCATACAAACCCTCATATCAGGACCAGAGAGATAAAGTAAGGGTTGACGACCAAGTCCCCTCTTCCCACCTCTTTGGGCACAATTCCCAATAACAGACACTGATGCAATTTCATAACTCATGGTAGTACATGTCACTACGCGAGAGTATAATAGAAATTTTCAGCACAACTGTAAGGATATTGATGTTTTGATACAAGTTTTGTTATTTGCAAAGAAGCTTGTCGGTCGTGAGACCATTCTTTCGAAAATCTATACAATGTAGTTGTGTGAAGAAGAAGAAGATAGCCTTGCCACATTTGTTTTTCAAAGGCATCCGTCGTACCAGTTCGTGTTTTTGCTTGCAATGAGAGAATAGCCTCGACTCCTTGAAAATGCGACGAAAAAATAGCAAGGGCCACCGAACAATGTGAACAAAGGAAAAGGAAAGGAAAAGATCAAGAAACAGAGACTCATAAATGTCGGCAAATGGCCCCAGGTTTCCTTGACCTACCCATTCTATCTAGATTTTAATTTTGTTTTTTCGTCAGGACTCCATCGTCCTTCTATGCACCGATGCCATAAAGAATGAGAAGCGTAAGGAATGCGTGAACAAGGATGTAGGACGGGCTGCCGTCCCACTCCCGAACTTTTTGTGCTGAAATATAAAAATCGTCGATCGCGTCGTTGCGTCGATTTGAAAATGTTGTGACTGTTGTTTCATCAAACAACTTCATCGAGAGAATGAAGAAAAAATCCAGAATCATTGGCTTTCACATCCAGAGAAAACATGCTCATGTCGTTGGGCTCATCGTATCGTATCCGTTCGAACACCTGCTATCGGGCTGTCTGCCTCTCCCATGGGCTTGAACAGCAGTTTCATGTCGAGTGTGAGGTCCCCGACTCCATAAGTATCATCAATATCGCCGACAGAGCCAGTATCCAGACCGCCCTGAGTGTTTTCATTTGAGACAAAGCCCTTGATCTTCTTCAGTAGACCCATGATCTGCAGAAAGCGAAGATCTGGCGGGGCCGTCCACTCCGAGGCCTTTGTCGAGCGCAACAACGATTGACCGAGGTAGAAAAAGTGAATTCCGTCCCTGGAGAAGCCAAAGCGACGGTAGCCGATGCCGTTTTGTGGGTATTGAATGGCTATGTCCATATCCCAAATCGACTTCCACTTGCTCATGGCGAGCTGAATGGATTTGAGGACAGGTTGGATCTGCGCATTTTGGGCTTGTGGCGTGTCGCTAGGAGTGCCAGCATTACTGTTGCCGTCCGAAGAAATCCAATCATTATGCCCGAGTGGAGTACCAGGACCGCTCGCCGTAGCACCATGGCCGAACTGGCCCGTGATGTTCTGCAGGAAGCTTGACCTCTGGAGTTTGCAGATCTGAACAAGAAGCGCATGGATAAGGATGAACTTGGAGTAGATGTTGGTGGATCGCGACGAGAAGGTATAGGTGGGCTCCATCAGACCTCGCATAGCGCTTCTCATATCAGGTTGGCGAGGTCGCTGACTGCCGCAAACATTGCGAACTAGCTTGGATGGCCCATTTAAACCCAGCGCGTCACGGCACTCCTGCTCAGTCCTAGCCTCCCAAGCAGCATCATCACAAGGGAGTGGTATGCGGAACTCAAATGGATCAAACTTCGGCTCGTTGTTGAAGTACATGACGAGGGCGGCGTCAAGTAAGAACAGGGTAAAAGCGACTCTGCTGCGTCTTTCCTGTGCAATCCAGGAAGACCAATTCCATGTTAAAAGAGCGTCTTGGGATATAGGACCAGGCTGGTGGAGGACACTGTAGGTGGCTTGTCCAGGCGCTGCGGGAGAAAGAACCATTCGTCGGGCAATTTCGACAACGCTGTTGAAGTCCTTCCTAGCGTCTGCACGTTGGCTTGGAGTGCCATGCCAGCAAAACAATACCTTGAGCATGTACAGCGCTTGAAGCTCTTCAATGTCGGATTCGATCGAGCCTAGAGGTGACCTGCCTTCTTGAATGACACCCCTAATGATGTTGTGGACTCTGGATCCATTCTTGACAGCGTCCTTGACAAGCTCCATCATTCTTCGTACTTGATACAGGTCGCGCTTTTCGGAATAGACGGCGCCGATACATATGATGGTCAGCACGAGGCCATCGTTGGCTTTGAGGATGTCGAAAGTAGGCATGTGGATGATCGGCCAGTGACCCTGGAAGCTGGTGAATTTCTCGATGAAGTGCTTGATGTTTTCAACAGTCAAGCATTTTCTCATCTCGTCGCAAGCGTCATCGCTTGAGGATGTTCTGTTTGAAAGGACGTACGTCAGCAATGCATTGGCCTTGGCCTGCAATGGATCGCTTTGCACGAGATCCATATTCCAGTTTGGAAAACCAGACAGGTGGTGCGCACCTGAATCTTCGCCGAAGCCCGACGGATGTGAGTAGAGTCCACCAAAGAACTGCTGCTCGTTGCTGTGCTCGTTCGACGAGTTGTAGCTGTGACCCTCCATACCGGTCTCGGTCTTGACAGGCATCTGTGGCTGGCTGGGATGAGACTGTGTCATGAAGCCATCGTGAGCATGTTGAGGTGCGAACATGGACCAGTCAGGGACGCCGTTGGGTTGGCGGCTCTCGCTCATTTGAGGAGGTTGATGAGTGTAGCCGCTTGGTGGCTGCTCTTCAGTCTTGACGCTCGAGGGGTAGAACTGGCCACCGTTGGCCATCTGGAAGCTGTAGCTTGGCGGCATGGGGTTCGAGGCCGAGTGAGGGCGCATGCCGCTGTAGGGAACGCCATTGGGGTAACCTGCAGAAGCGATTGAGTATTGTTCACGGTTCGGCTTACCACGTTGATACATACCTGCAAGGCTGCTTCTGCCATCGGCAGTCATAGCACCCGGGTGAATCAAGCTATTAGCACGAGAGGAGCGGTTAGACATCGAGGCCACGCTCGATGCATATGAAGAGTTTTCTCCATTGACGGTCGGACTGTTGGTTACACCACTCAGAGCGGCTCCGTTAGCATACGGGACACCTGCAGCTTCGGCGAGACCTGCGAGGGCTATGGGTTCAGTGCTGCTGATGGACATGCGGTTAGAACCATTGGTGTTTCTGCGCTGGTGAGCGAGATGGTTTGCGCCTGTAGGGTTGCCACGACGGATTGAGCATTTCTGGAAATGGCGCTTGAGAATGTCACTGCGTGAGAATGTATCCTTGCAGAGATGGCACATATAGGGTCGGTCTCCAGTNNGTCTGTATCTTGTCAATTGTCGTCTCTCGATCAACGATACGAGCAATAACTCACGGCGCAATAAATGTCTCTTCAAGTGTTTGGCGTGGAGATATGTCTTGTTGCAATGTGGGCAGGGGAATTTTCCATCTGCATCCTTTGCTGGGATCATTGACTTGCTCGTAGCGGCGGCAGCGGTACCGGGTGTAGGAGCAGCTGCACGACCAGGTGCACTGGGCAAGATGCCACGTCTTCCTTGCGATCCCACGACATGGGTAGGTTCTGACTCGTGGTTCTGCATGTATGGCTGAGCGCCCACAAGTCCGGATGCGCCGAAGCTAGGCAGCGTAGACACGGCATTGTACGAAGCCTGAGGCTGAAGTGGGCGCAGGTCTGGGAGACGAGCCTGGGCTGGAGTCTGGGCAGCACTCGTAGCAGTAGAAGCCGGGGGCAGGGTGGTTTGCGATGTCGAGTAAGGGATGTATGTAGACGAGGGAGGAAGCATGGAACCAGTGGTCGCCGGCGACGATTGGTGCTGCTGTTGCTGCTGCGAAAAGGCGTGCAGGCCGTTCGCTCCCATTGATGAAGTGGTAGGCGTATGGACGCTGGTGGGGGTCTGAGGGTGGCTACCAGAGGCGTTGTACAAGGAGGGCAGCTGACCAAAGTTGGCGGCTTGAGTGTGCAGAGGGGGCAGCGTCTGGTTGTGGGTGTGGTTGTCGCGCGACGACTCTTGCTGCGGCGGGCCCTGCTGCTGCTGATGTTGGTGCTGCTGCTGCTGAGCTTGTTGTTGCTGAGCCTGCTGTTGCTGGTGCTGTGGGTGCTGTTGCTGCTGTTGATGAGACGAGTAGCTCGAGAAGGGCGCAAAGTTGGTGGGCTGAGGCATGTAGGTGGTGGAGGGGTACTGGTTCTCCATGTTGGTGGTGCCAATGATGTCGTGGTTTGGGGGAAATAATGGGGCCCTCAGGGCGAGAGCATCTGGCGGGCACGAGAACGCGGATGTGGAGCAGGCAGTTGCAGAGTCGCCAGACAGAGTGTGTAGAGTAGGCAGGCGCGACTAGTTGTCAAAACTCAAGCCAGACCGAGCTCCAGACACGGACAGGACAAGGTAATCAAAAGTCGAGTAGAGGAAGTGGGCAGCTCGAGGGCAATGCGTTACTCCAATGCTGCGGTGCGTCGAGAAAACGGCCGGAGCAAAATCTGTTCAACGCCGAAAAGTCCGTTTTGTGCAGAGAAGATGGCTGCCAAGCGTGTCGCAGAGCTGAAAAAGCTTGCCTTTCGAAATGGTACAGAAGCCTGAAGCCTGCAAGAGCCAACCTGAAAGATGTCCGCGAGGGGACCTGTCTCTATCTCTGTAAGAACGCGCCCTGACGCGAGCGATGGATGCTGGTGTCGCTCACAACTGATGATGATGATGATGCTGATGCTCTGAACAATCGGTGCACGGGCTGGCTGATGGATTAGATCCGTGTGGACCAGGAACCCGAGTTGTGGATCGATCTGTCAAGCACACGAGGGGTCTCGGGTCAGTATTCAAGAGAAAGCGGGTCTCTTGTTGCTTTCCAACTGCTCTAGAGTGGACGAGGAAGAAGAAACAAAGACCTCCTGCAGACTGCTGGTGATGACAAACGACACAGGCTCGCAATATGCTCGCGCAGAGCCACTGGGAACCTTTCACTAATCGATTGATGAGCTCGAGGAAGTCTCAACGCCTCAAAGCACGGCTTCGGAAGCGCACCATAACCATTTTCCCTTGCACACGTCATGCGACAAGCCCTCCTCTTGCTCTATCACACCTTTCCTAAACTGTCCTCCAGGCGTTGCGTCTCTCAGCTTTGACTTTGGTGGCTTTCCACTCTTCGCGATCATCAGCTCGCTGGTTTGGCTCCTCTTGAGCACGTTGTACCGAAAGAAGATCCTGTCTATCAACTCTCTTTCTGTCTTGCCATTGATTCATCTGTCTACCTGCCTGCAGGCATGCATCCTAGGCCATGGACCAGACGGCCTCTTTCCGAGTACAATTATTTTTGCGGCTGCGCTTGCAGACGACTGAGCATGAGCCGCTCTTGGCTTCGGATAATACGACCGCGCGATTTTCTTACGACAACGTCCGAAGCAGTTCGGCTCGAGCAACTGCTCTATCCGACTGCTTCCGCCTTCCGCCTGTGTACGACTATTATTTCCAACATGCAGAGGTCGCTTCTTCGACCTCTTGACAGTGCATATGCAACCCACATCGCGTTTGCGGCTCTTCTCGAGATTCATGCAGTCCACCTGCTCGTGGGATCTTTCAGTCTTCACCATGACCTAAACCAAGCCCTGGGCAGAACCAAGCGATCTGGTCAACTCCGCTGGTCGAGCTGAACCTAAATCGATCACCTGCATTGGTGCTAAGCGAAAAGCAGGTGCGCCGAACACCAAACATGAATCCTTGACCCAAATCCTTGACCCTTGGTCTACAAGACGGTCCCTGCTATCATCTCGAATTGTCTGACCAAACACTCTCTGATTCAGGTTTGCGCGAGCGAATTGACAGGATCGAAGGACAGTCAACAAAGACAAGAGGGCGTGCTGACCTCGGTATCGATATGCGCTGTGAAAAGCCATGTATATCTTCCCTTGACTCGTGAAGGGCCCGCTGGTTTGCACAACGTACTCGGTGGTGCTGCGCCGGCGGCCTTCCGTCCTTGCGCCAGAACAAGCATAATCAGCTAGCCTGCTTCTTAAGTGCGCTATGCCCGTGCTGAGAGATATTCCCGAGGGCTTACCCTACTCGAGCAAGCCGTCTCTCCTAGGCCTTCCTTCTAGGGCGACAGGAGCCAAGCAAACCGCTAAACCACACAGCAGGGAAACCAATTCCTCCTTCGATGCACGAAACCTCGAGTCCCTCCGCTATATGGCCGGCGCTTAATGCCCAAGCTTACCGCCACGGGGTCACAGTACGGGGTGAGCGCGCTGCCGACTTGACATCCCGAGAGACCTTTATGTCGAGTCGCGTTTTAGCCGGGTATCACCGCACGTGAGAGGCCAACATCACGGCCATCTTCCCGGTCTGAGCGCCGTAGACCTATCTGCTTGGTCCGTCGTCAAGTGACATTCGCCCCTGCGCCTACAAGGCACGAGACGTGGTGAGAGCCCGTATGATTTTACTCATGTTCTATGCAGTCCAATACTGCAACGTTGCATCTGTTTATCAGTAATCCCAACCTCACATCAGAAGGCATGACACCGACTTTTCGTTTTCTTGTTTCGCCATCGCTAAACGTAAGTCGGAAAGGGTCGGAACGTACCCATGCGCTTGCCCTGCTTGGTATGGACACGATGGCATGTCGTTCAGCCTCGAGTGTGAGTTCAGGTAGACTCAAGGCTCAGGAGATGTCGCTCTGCCACAACTTGCGCAAGTCATCGCACCAGAGCTGTGAATGTTCACCCCATCCAACTGCTTGTGAAACATCGGCGTCCTCAGATCTGACCATCCTTAGCTAATCTTGCTCTGAAGTTCCTTGACTACGGGCAGGACCTTGTCCTGAAACTCGAGATGTTTGTTCTTAACGCCAGGCATATGGTGAAGCATCGAGCACAGCCTGTGGAAATACTACCGCGTACCGCACTCGTCTTTCGAGACAATCTCCTCAGGTGGCTGGGAGGCTGTCACTAGGACAAAGCATCCTGCCACTCTGCGCGTTACGGCCGTGTGTTGCATCAGGAATTCGTCAAGTTTCTATGCTATTCCTCACGATAGTCAAGTTCAATATTGTTGAGCAAGTTCAGTTGCGCGGAGCAGAGCGGGCGAGGGCTCTCGAGACGGATGGTTCCCCGAAGCGTCTTGCATCCGGCCCGGGGTGAAGACCCGTACCGGCCAGTGGTTCTCAAAGCCTAGAGCTCAGCACACTGAGGCACAGCGGCTGGCTGAGATGCGAGCTGAACTCTGCTAAGAAGAGTCGACAGCCACATGGCGTTAACAGCGGTCGATACCCAGTAACCTGAGGTCTTTTCGTGAGGCTCACCATATGCTTTGGTTGCACTCGATCAAACTCATGCAAGGGAGAGTTTGGACAGGCGTTCGTTTCTTGAGAACGTACGTTGCCCGTTCGGCCTGTTTGCCCTGACTGAGGAATCGGTTTTGACCTTCCATCAACCATTTCCGGAAAATGCATGCCTTCTCAGGGGCCAACCCAGCTTCGCATATTTAGGCCGGCAGATATTGATTACATAGCAAGCTGCATATCCAAAGACGTCAGGCGCAGTGATAAACAGAGGCCAGGCTCTTCCAGGTGCTCTGTATCCAAAGGAAGCAAATGCCGTGCTATGCCGGCTTACCAGCCTCCAGGTCTGATGGATTGCGCTCCAAGATACTAAAGCTGCAAGAAGGAATCTTATATCGACACGAACAACCTGACACGATGCACGTCATATATTGACGTGTCTACTACAGCCTACAATTGTCATGTCAGAGAGGCTCGGTGTTCAAATGCTGAGACGTGAAAGGAGGTTTGAATCGTAGACCGAAATGCTCGCAAAAGGCACCATAAGTAGTGATAATCAGCAGTACTAGCGAAAGTAAAATATTGAGTCGAGGAACTCGAACCGCGCCATCTTGCAGCATTCCCAACCACCCGTCATGAGCAGCTTGGACTTTGGCATTGGCCATTGAACACTTCCACGAGTGGCATGTCTGTTGTGTATGAAGCTCAATGACATCTGAAAAACATGAAGCCACCGAGACCTAAACTTGGAGTAACAGATCCAGACGATATGAACATAAACTATCGAGCCAGTTGGACTGTATAAACATAGAAAAGTGCATTTCAACTAGGTGAATTACATGTGCAAGGTCGCTGGAGCTGCAAGTATCAAGATTTATATTTGAACAGGGTCGTCCGTACGGCATGTGGCGGATGATACATGATCCAGTGTCAAGCCGAGATACAGACATGGGTGACTGCAGATGCCCTCGAAGACATCTTGACTTGCATCCTAGACATATAAAGGAGCCGTCAGTTGCAGTAGTATGGGAGGAGACATTGGAAGTTTTGATCAATGATGGATCAGATATTGCCAGAAAGAGGAGCGGGTAGATGCGCAGAGCCGCATTGCGTTGGCGGAGGCAAGGGCGATGGTCAGCAAAGCTCCGCATTTGAAAATGTTCAAGCTCCACTGTTGATGTTTCTGCCACGAGCAATTCTTCCCTTCCGTTCAATCCACAAGCCATCAATTGCATCTCCCTTCAAACTCACACGTCAATACATGTCAGCAGCGAAAAGAGTCAAGATGTCAGGCCCTCTTATCGGAACCCACAGCGGCCACTTCCACGCCGACGAGGCCCTGGCCGTCTACCTGTTGCGCCTGCTTCCCACCTACTCCAACAGCACTCTCGTCCGCACCCGCGACCCCGAAAAGCTCGCTCCCTGTCACACCGTCGTCGATGTCGGTGGTGTTTACGATGACGAGGCCAAGCGCTACGACCACCACCAGCGCGAGTTCACCACCACTTTCCCCAACCACTCGACCAAGCTCTCGTCTGCCGGTCTCGTCTACATGCACTACGGCAAGGATATCATCTGCGCCTGCACCGGTCTCGCCAAGGACTCGTCCGACGCCGAGCTGCTCTACCAGAAGCTGTACGACGACTTTGTCGAGGCATTTGATGCCAATGACAACGGCGTCTCTGCCTACGACCCTAACGCCCTCCGCAAGGCCGGCATCGAGAAGAAGTTCTCCGACCGCGGATTCAGCATCGCTTCGGTTGTCAACCGCCTCAACTACTCGCACCCCTCTCCCGTCGCCGTAGCCAAGCATTCTCTCAGCACCGAGGGTGTCAGCACCGAAGGCGGCATCTCCGTCCCTCTGACCTCCGATGGCACCACAAAATCGCCCGTCGAAGCACAAGCCGAGGAGGACGAGCGTTTCCTCAAGGCCTCGCAGTTCTGCGGTGACCAGTTCATCTCTGAATTGATGGACAAGTTCCACTCATGGTTGCCTGCTCGTGCCGTCGTCAAGCAAGCCTTTGGCGATCGCTTCAAGTACGACGACAAGGGCCGTATCATGGTTGTTCCCCACCGTCCCGAGGGCTGCCCTTGGGCCGACCACCTCTACGCCCTGGAGAAGGAGACCTCCACCGAGGGTTCAGTCCTTTACGTCCTGTTCGCTGAGAGCGGCGAGGCCGACAGCAAGTGGCGCATTCGCTCCGTCAGCCGCGAGTCCGGCAGCTTCGAGAACCGCAAGGATATGCCCGATGCCTGGAAGGGTGTCAGAGATGAGGAGCTGAGCAAGGTCTCCGGTGTCCCTGGCGGTGTCTTTGTCCACGCCTCTGGCTTCATCGGCGGCAACAAGACCTTTGAGGGTGTCCTCGAGATGGCCAAGAAGTCTGCCGACGCATAGACGAACGAATGACGAAACCATAAAAGGAATAAGGGCGAAACCATTGGCAAGGCGTTCAAATTTGGTTCGAGAGAAGGAAAGGCCTTCTTTGTTTGACATTCCCGATACCCGGGATCTATTTGTATATAACAGTACAATTCATGTGGCATACCGTCACATCTTTTTCTTTCTGCTCGGCATTTACAATCGATCCTTCTGCCTTACTTTTGTTTTTGCGCTTGAGTTATCCTATAACGCACGCCTTGGTGCAAGTGTGGTTCCAAGGGAAGATATAGTAGTTTTTGGTATAAAGACATGGGTTTGATACGATGCGTAAAGCTCTATGGCGAGGAAGTATGTGGCTATCCAAAGCCGAACAAGTCAGTGGACTTATATCCTGGTTGACGTGATGCTGGTGATGTATTTGTGAATGGTATGTGTAGTAGAGGCCGTCATGCCATATGTTACGGTGATGGCTGTTTGTGTTCCACAGCCCGTGAAGAGCAGAGCAGAGCAGAGCAGAGCAGAGCAGAGCAGAAAACACTCTGGGCAGGGTATTCTGGGCTCGTCAAGTGTTTCGCTCTAAGAGTTACTCAGGAACTCTGTCGCGTATTCTTCTGGCAAGAAACCTTGTATCATACAGGAGACTTCGTTTCTGGTAATGACCACTCGTCATCACCAACATTCCTCTTCCAGCCTTGTAGTGACAGGTCCCTGGCAATCTGCTTGGCAGCTTCTCGTTCAGCTAGCGTCTTGCTGGCCTTGACCTCTGCGTACGACTTTGCAGTCAGAGCAGCGACGAGTGCAGGCTGTGCCAGTGAGGTAGCGACTCTCAGAGCCAGAGCCCACATCGAACGTCTGGATACGGCAGAGGCTCCTCTCGGATCGCCTTGCTTTCTTCCCTGGAGCGTGCCGTTGATGAGAGTCTCTTGCTTGGGACCATATGTCAGAGAAGAGATATTCGATGGTACGATGGAAGTAGTGGACGCGTCAGCGATTCGCCGGCTAAAGGTGAATTCGCGCGTGGTTGGGCGAACGGCAAAAGGACGAAAGGCAAAGGGCCCAGAGGACGTGTCTTGCAATGCTGATAGACGCCCATTGCGACCAAATGCTCGCTCGCAGGCTTCAGGAACCATTTGACTCTGAGGCATGACCAGTGTGTGGATATATGCATTTTCTGGATGTATCAACAAGGAGCTGACAGCAGAAAGAACAGATGTGTATTGCTTGAGGGCGAGTTTGTCAGAGCACGACTTTGACAAGGTGGNGGGAGCATCTGGTCGAGCAGGCTTCCGACGCACTACGCCGAGGGTGCCAAAGTAGCCTCTTCCAAACAGTTCGTCAGAGTCGACTTCAGATGTTGATGTCCAGGGAGATTGATCGTCCTGCTGAGCCATGGTGAGTTCCATGCTGGCATCGCCGCAGGGAGCCTCGCTACAATACATGTGGATGGTGACGCGGGGATCAATTGTGAAGGGCTTCTGTGCAGAAGTTGATATGAGGAGGCTGTCAGCAGAAGGATCAGCACACAACAAAGCAGACTGATCGAGAAGGAAGCGGTTGAAAGCACGCAAAGCCAGAATCTCAGCATGGCTGTCGTGCACGACATTGCCGTCTAGACCTTGTATCTTATCACGCGGCAAGCATTTCATGCCAGTGGCTAGAGCAGCACATGTCAAAGCACCCTGGCTGTTCTCAAGCACTATGCCCGCTAGTGGAACCCATTCTCTGCGGCCTGCTTTGAGGCCTGAAGAAGGCAGCCGTGGTTTGCGATGTGCTGGCAGAGCATCAAAGGCAGCGAGTACACAATCTGCTATGGCGTCGGCATGGCCAAAGTCATTGCCAGCCATGTCAATAATGTCATCAAAGTGAAGGGAAGATGAAGAAAAAGCAAAAAATGGCAGTCGCGTCTGTCGTGTTGCGAACGTGTCACATCTGACGTCAACGAGCTGCAGGTACCAAAGTGGAAACATTATTGATTTGTTCCTTCCATCTCACAAGCCTCGCCACTGTTTCCTCTGCATGCAATTGATGAGATAGATGCCTCCGTTCGTTCCGCGCAAAAGGCGCTCGCCTTCGCCAGAAGCTCCTCCTGCGAAACGAAGAGAAACTGCCCGTGGCAAGAAAGCTCCCGTCGACGAGAAACCCACCAAGTCCACCAAGCCAAAGAGCAGCGTCTTTGATGCAATCGACACACTGACCACCAAGGCGACGGCTGAAGAGGCCAAGAACTTCTTTGCGAGCGTTGGTAAAGGCGACAGCGATGACAATGACGACAACGATGCCTCATCCGAAGACGACGACCACGAGTTTGAAGATGTGCCCATGAAAGAAGCACCGAAAGAGCAGGACGATGGCGACGACATGGACTGGGAAGATGCTATCCCTGCTCAGGAAGACAAGGTCGACGACGACAGTGCCATCCAAGACATCAACATTTCCATCAACGAAGACGGCAGTGTCCAGGCTGTTGCTGCTGCTGAACAACAAGCAAAGGCTAAAAAGGGTCCTTCCAAAAGAGAACGCCAGGCACGAATCCGAGCACACTGTATACATGTCCAAACCCTGCTCTTCCACAACGCCGTCCGTAACTCATGGCTCAACGACAAAGAACTACACAAAACTCTCCTCGACAGTCTCAGTCAAGGTGTCAAGGACGAGATTGACCGTTGGAAGATCAATATGGGCATGAAGCAACCACCACCCAAGAAGAAGCAAAAGGGAAAGAACAAGGGAAACAGCAAAGCCCGAGATTGGGGACAGGACGCTGATAGACTCGAGCCTGGCGTGCCCAATCTCAGTAGCGGAGACCCTCTGCTCAGACTGCTCAAAGTCCTGACTGCCTATTGGAGAAAGCGTTTCAGCGTCACTGCTCCTGGTATACGCAAGCAAGGTTACCTGCCTCAACGACTCATCACCTACGAGATCAAGGCTTGGGCTAAGAATAAGTCCAACGCCGGACGCCACGGCGAGCGTATTGAGAACATCGACGAGTTTCGCAAGTGCGCAAAAGAATATCGAGGCTCGCGAGATGTCGGTGCTCAGCTGTTCACTGCTCTAATCAGAGCCATCGGTATCGATTCCAGAATGGTGGCAAGTTTGCAACCTGCTGGCTTTGGTTGGACAAAGGTTGAGGATGGTGAGATTAAGAAGCAACCTCAAACTTCATCTTCGAATCCTGTCGAGATTTCTGATGACGAGAGTGATGCTGCTGAGTCTCCGAAACCCAAGTCAAAAGCAAAAGCGAAAAAGCCCGTCAAAGCTGAGAAGCCGGCTCGAAAATCCACTCGCAAATCAAAAGGCGCTGTGGTCGAAGACGAGTCTAGTGAGCTCTCAAGTATTCCATCAGACGCCGACGACGATGACGATGCTTCGGTAATCGACATCACACCCGCACCTCCACTCAAGAACAGCAAGAAGTATGACCGTGACTTGGCATATCCTCATTACTGGACAGAAGTTCTTTCTCCCGTCTCGAACACTTACATCCCCGTCGACTCTATTGTCCTTTCCACTGTCGCTAGTAACCAAGAGCTATTGTCTACTTTCGAGCCTCGAGGCAAGCGCGCCGACCAAGCCAAACAGGTTATATGCTATGTCGTTGCTCACAACCAAGATACTACTGCCAAAGATGTTACTGTTCGTTATCTCAAGAAGCATCAACTGCCTGGCCGTACAAAAGGCTTCCGTATGCCTGTCGAGAAGATCCCTGTTCTTAATAAGCGTGGCAAGGTCATCAAGACTGAAGACTACGACTTCTTCAAGCGTATCATGTCACCATTTGTGCGGCCTCAAAACAAGCGTACTGCAGCAGACGACGTCGAAGAGTCAACAGATCTCAAACCTTTCAAGCCAGTGACTGAGAAAGCCAAGGTTGCGACCGAGTCACTGCAATGGTACAAACAAAGTGCCGAGTTTGTGCTTGAGCGCCATCTTCGTCGTGAAGAAGCCATTCTTCCTGAAGCCAAGCAAGTCAGGACATTCACTTCAGGCAAAGGTGACAAGGAGAAATCAGAACCTGTCTACAGGAGAGCTGACGTTGTGAATTGCAAGACCGTCGAATCATGGCATAAAGAAGGTCGGCAAATCAAACTCGGCGAACAACCTCTAAAGATGGTCCCTGTACGAGCTGTCACCCTCATGCGCAAGCGCGAGATGGAAGAAGCTGAACGTGAAACTGGTGAGAAGCTCAAGCAAGGTCTTTACGGTATCGATCAGACCGAATGGATCATCCCACCGCCCATCGAGAATGGTGTCATTCCAAAGAATGCATACAACAATATTGACGTGTATGTGCCATCGATGGTGCCCAAAGGTGCTGTCCACATACCCCTTCGCAGCACTGCTAGGATCTGCAGAAAGCTGAACATCGACTACGCCGAAGCTTGCACGGGGTTCGAGTTTGGCAAACAGCGTGCAGTTCCTGTCATCACCGGTGTAGTTGTAGCTGCCGAGAACGAAGACGCTGTTATTGATGCTTGGGAAATTGAAGAAGCTGAACGCAAACGTAAAGAGGACGTCAAGAGACAGGCTACTAACCTGCATCTGTGGCGCAAATTTCTTATGGGCTTGCGTATCGTCGAACGTATTAGATCGGACTATGCTGGTCGACAAAATGAAATCGACGAGGTCAATCCATTCGTCAACCGCGACAAGCAGAAAAAGAAGAAGGCACCGAGAGACGAGATGACTCTGGGTGGCGGCTTCTTGGTCTCTGACGACGAGGAGGACGAGAAATCCAAGGAGACAAAAGAGGAAGACACAGACCTCAGTCTTGGTGGTGGTGGTGGCTTTATGCCTGAAGACGAAGACGAGGACAATACCAAAGTCGAGGAAGATGTCGATACTGAGATGGGCGGTGGCTTCTTACTCGATGATGACGATGCAGAGGAAGAGAAGAAGCCAGTCACCAGCTCGCACTTCGCACCCATGTCTCTGGCATCCGCACACCGTCAAGCACAATCATCAGACGCCGAGCCCGTAAAAGAGGAAGAAGAAAGCGAGGAAGAGCTGGACGAAGAACCGCCAAGTACACGTCGCAACCCTCGTACATCCACCGCTACTGCTAAACCAAAAGCAAAGCCCAAAGCAGCACCAAAAGCAAAGGCCAAGCCTGCTAGCAAGCCCGCACCCAAAGGTGCTGCTAGAAAGAGCAAAGTAGTCGTCTCCGAGTCCGAAGAAGACAACGAAGACCAAGACGAGGACAAAGTCGCCCACTCTTCCTCCCTCTCCGATCTCACCGATGCGTCCGAAGATTCTGCACCATCAAAGCCGATTAAGAGACGCAACTCTTCACCTCGCGTCGTCATTTCACCCCGTAAGAGGAACGGTATCAAGAAAGAGATTAAGAGTCCTTACTTTTCACATACCGAGGATGATGGTGGCGGTGAGGAGATGGATGAGGATGACGAGGAAAGCGAGGAAGAGGTTGTGAAGCCTAGGATGACCACCAGACGCACGAGAGGCAAGGCATAAGTAATGTTGCAGAGTTTTGATGAATGGGAATCGGGACGAATCATGGTTGGACTGGCTGCGTGGTGGGAGGTATGGGACTTTTACTTGCTGTTTTCGATGTAGCGTTTACGACAACTGAGATACCCAACTCGTATGACCAATGAGCTTTTCAAGATGTGATTGACCAATGTCTGTATATGTTGCCTGTATTCTTCCGCCTTTAACACTGTTGCGGCAACCTTTATCTCCATGGGCGATTGATGGTTGCAGTATAACTATAGAAACACACAATAATACCATATCGGAGCAATATCCACAGAGAAAACGTTATGTGCAGACATTTCTATGGCCACACCTCTATCTAGAAAGTAACTGTGCATTTTCATAGAGATGACATGACCTAGATAGACAACAGAGATGTAAACAGACATATACCAGGGCATAGTTTCAAAGACATAACAACCAGGGAACCAACACTAGATCACTATTACTCTACCCCTCACATCCCACTAATGTTTGACATTGTCCTGCTCTACGACAAACACATAAAGAAGCTACAAACCAAAGCAAAAGAACATCCAAATAGACACTGGTAACTCTATGTAATCTTCGCTTCCACCCTGCATATAAAGAAAACCGTGCAGTCCTTCCGTATCGCGAAAGACCTTGCTGGTGTAGCGAGCGTAATGACGGAGAAGCATCTCGATATCGACACGGTTGTCGCATGTAGGTCGTGTCATACTCGCGAGAAGGAGGAGAGCAGAGACGATGAGGTCCTCGTCGCTGAAGCTGGTGTCAGTGAAACAGAAGCTGGAGTTGGGGGTGAAGAGAAACTTGAGTTCCGTGAAAGAAAAAGTCAGAGTTTGGTTTGGTGGAGTGGGAGTTTTGGCTCAAAAGAGATGGAGTAGTAAAGTGGGAGCTGGAGTTGGTGAAGCGGAGGCTGGAGTCAGAAGTAGTTCTTGCTGGCAGGAGATGAACAAGTGGGAGCAGAGTTGCGTGGTCAAGAGAAGGAATTGTGTTACAAAAGCATTGTTCATACAATATAATCGATTTGGGAAGTCGCCAGAATCATGATTACATCTTCTGATTATTCCTTCCCTAATATTGGCCATCCAGAGTAAAAGTGCCCGTCTTTGTGATCAGGTACTCATTGACTGCGACATCCTTGCCCGACTCCTTTCCATAGCCACTTTCCTTGATGCCTCCGAACGGACTCTCTGCAGCCGAAGAATTGCCTATTATATCAACGTTAGCATATGCACAAAACCAATAGCGACAGCAAAGGCAAACCAACTCACCAGTGTTGATACCGAGCATGCCAGCCTCGAGATTCTCAAACAACCTCCAGGTCCTATCGACATTCTTGGTAAAGTAGTAGCTCGCCAATCCCATGCTGGTGTCGTTGGCCCTTTGTACTGCTTCTTCCTCGGTATCGAAAGGGAAAAGTGCAAGCACAGGCGCAAAGGTTTCTTCATTCGCAATCAACATGTCGCTGTTCGCATCTCCAATGATTGCAGGCTCGAAGAAGTAACCACTTGCGTCTTTCGCCCTCTCGCCACTACCGAGTAGCAATTTTCCGCCATGAGAGACTGCGTCCTTGACTTGGAATTCGGCTTTGTCGAGGCCGCGGGAGGTAGTCACCGGTCCCAGTGTTGTCTTCTGTTCGCTGCCGTGACCCATCACGAGTCCTTTGGTCTTTTGGACGATGAGCTTGGAAAAGTCTTCGTAGATCGATTTTTGGACGTAGACGCGATTGGCAGTTATACAGGCTTGGCCTGCGTGGCGCCATTTCAGTGCCATGAGTGCNNTTTGATTCATGTCATCAGTTACGTGTTCTTTGGTAGAAGATAAGTGTTTGGGGAAGAACATACCATTAGCTGCCTGTTCCAGATCGGCATCTTCAAAGATGAGGAAGGGGCAGTTTCCTCCGAGCTCGAGTGTGACCTTCTTCAGTCCATCGGAACAGATCTTGGCCACCAGTTTGCCCACGCGAGTGCTGCCTGTGAATGTAACTTTCTTGACAAGCTCGTGGCGACACAGTGCCTCCGATAATGAAGGAGTGTTATCAAGACTGGTGGTCAAGACATTGAAAACACCAGGCGGGAAGCCTGCTTGAAGGGCCAAGTACCCCAAAGTCAAGACAGAGAAGGGTGTTTCAGGCGATGGCTTGACAATCATGGTACATCCTGCTGCCAGGGCTGCTCCAGCTTTACGAAGGATCATTGCGATGGGGAAGTTCCATGGTGTCAGTGCAACCGCGACACCGATGGGTTGTTTGATGGTGAAGACACGGCGGCCGGGTGCTGCGGGTGTAGAGATTGTGCCTTGAATTCTTTCGGCCTCACCTGCGAACCNACCTGTAGAGACTTAGTTGCTTGTCTTGCTGGATACATGCATGTGTCTGGCATATTTGCATGGCGGGAGGACTTACCAAGTAAATCCCAGAGCATAGTCGAGCTCCCCCTGGCTCTCAGCGATCGGCTTGCCAGTCTCGTATGTCACAATCTTTGCAATGTCGTCTCTGTGCTCTCGAATAAGTGCATCCCACTTCAATAGCCATTGTGCTCTAGTCCTGGGGTTGACTTTACGATAAGACTCGAACGCGGTCTGAGCTGCTTTGACGGTCTGGTCTACGTCCTCGGGTCCATTATCGGGAGCTGTAGCCCAGGTCTTGCCAGTGCCAGGATCTATTCTCGAATGTTAGTGACGTGTGTCTTTGCATGAGAACATCACACTGGTGGCTGGCAATATACCGACGACATCGAAGCGCTTCTTGGACTGCGCTTCCACCCACTCGCCATTGACGAGACAATTATCGCGGAATATATCCTTGTTGTTTAACTGGACGATAGCATCAGCGCGCTACGTCAGCAATCAAACAATCCGCCCGTGATCGTACCTTGAAAGGTAGCTCCGACGCCATGGCTATATCAAGCTTTGGTTCAGCTGTATCCGTGATTCAACGATTATTCTTTTTTCCCCTGTCAGATAAGACACGAATGCACGATAGGAAGCAGGATGATTCAAGAAAAAGAACAAAGCAATGATGGATGATGCGTGTATTCCTCACGACATTGTGCATCTCGAGGAGGGGTTACCCTTGCCGCGGATCACAAATGCGGGGTCGAAAAAGGTGCTCTTTTCCCTGGAAAGAAGCAGCTGTCAAAAAGCATCTTGTCCCTCTCGTATGTACGAAAGTACATGCTATTGTTAAATCCGCCTCTGGCGTGCGTGGCTGGACACGTCTGCATCTGCTTCGACGGCATCTTTCGAAACGAGTGGGTAAGGACAAAGTGCCATGAGCTATGGCGCGAATCGATCGTCGACGCAAAGGTGCATGTTTCCATACGAGCCGTCCTTCCACCCGGATGCTTGGTATCGAAGGATGTGCGGTACATCGTGACTTTGGTAAAACGACTGCGACTGTATTTTTCGAAGTGGGTGTGAAAGGCACGTCTTTGGCCAGTTTGCAGAACCACCCTGGGGAGTGTCACAATAAACAGTGTGGACATGGTAGAGAGCGTAATGTTTTGGTCAGCGCCATATAAAAATCGATTCTTTCCAATACAGGAGACAGAAATGTATCGCATACAACTTACACTGACCTACCGTTGTGCACACTACACACACCGCCCGCATCTTGCATATACACTGTGGAGTGGTTTCCTCTAGCTCATGTTACGATGGATTGCGACTGTCGAGAGACGGTTGCTCGTGATAGCCCACTCTTCGCAAGATCCATTTGCGCATGACTTAAGATCCTCAAGAGGTACGCGCTGATATACTTTTCGAGACGACTCAAATCCTCGACAAAGGTACCTTCGCACTTGTCGTGGTTCATACATGAGCATGCTTGTATCAAGACTCCAGCGAGAGAAGCGGTGCACACAGCGACAACGTCGGACGGCATGGTAAATCTCGCGGATCTAGATCGAGGGCCGATGGTAACCAGGTCTGGAATCCAAAGCATGGGAATGTGCATTTCAAGACCGCAGCCTTCATGCAGACACATCTTGTGTTTCTGAGGGCAGTCAATCAATGAGATTCTACATTTGCGTCTTCATCATATTTGAAGTCTTCCAGGGCGATGTTCGAGTTGCGCACACTGGACATCCTCGGCCCAGACGTCTGCTCAGTCTTTCTGCTTCATTGTGACGAGTTTGCGAGAATGAAAAGGTTCAGGTTGATACAGATGGACCAACGCGTCAAACAAATCGCCTGTTGCCTTGTGAGTGATACGTTTGATGACCGGAACACGGCGGATATCGATATCGTGTTGATGGTAAACACAACAACAGCAACAAGCAAATGAAGTGTTCAGGCTATACATGCCTATCTCACCAGGGCGAAATTTCGGTGTTCCAAGGACAAGATATCCAGAAATGGACCTTGAAAGTTTCGAAGTCTTTCATCAAACATCTTGAGCCTGATAAGATGGGTGATTTCTCGGCCAACTTCGGCAGTATGAAACCAGTAAGACGTCGCAAGAAGCCGACCGACTTCCGAAGTTCGCAATAGCGAGAGATGAGAAGAACAAGAGGGCCGAAAGGGAGTATCTGAACCTGAACGAGGGTTACAATCATTGTTCTATGACATCCTTTCGTTTTCATTCTTGATGTCCATTGTATGGCCGAGAGTTCAGCCTCGTCGGTTGTTGTTGTCGCCGCTCCGATCCGCCGCGGTTCTTGCGAAAAGCAAAAAGACACAACTCAACGACATACCATTTAATCCCGGTGTTGGACCGGTGGGTCAATCGCTTGACGCGGCTAATCAGTTCAATAGTCTGCTTGGTGCTCTGTTAAGAATAGTTAGGTTTTCGGTAGAGTGATATAAGTGGGCGATGGAAGCCAAGCGAACAGAATGTTGTGCCATTTTTGGTCGATTCTTGTTGATTCCAATTTGGTGGCTGGCGATGACCGGCGATCAACAGAAAGGGCTCAAAAAGGACCCAAGAAAACGAAAGCAAAAAGGCTCGCATCCTTGATCCTTCTGATCCATCTTCATCGGACAAGCACGGGCAAACTCGCCGATTTTCAAACCAGACTTTTTTTGAACGCACTATTGGCTGTATACGGGGATAACTCCAGGTTATGAACGGGCCTCTTCCGAAGGATTGGTGGTGCTCTTCCTTGGGGCTCCAGCATGACGCAGTTTCATTCTGTTCTTCGCTTCGCGCCAACCATTGCTTGCGTTCGATCGTTGGTTGGCTAAAAGCGCCATTGGGGAGGGCAATGGATGATGGAAGCGCCTTATGCAGGTACAGCAAGTCATCAATAAATAGTCATATATCAAACACGAAAGCGCCCAGTAGTGTCATGCATGTGATATATAAGTGGCAGTGACAGTGGCAGTTCGGCGGCAACGGTGGAGAATAGGTTTAGTCAGGTACCAAGGTGGAGCTCGTGAAGCTCGTCAGGGTCGTGAGCGCGACAAATAATAACAGATCAAGATAATGCAATGCCCACGTCGAGGTCAGACTGTGATAACGCTCTTGCGGAGAGCATGGCTGACATGGAGAGAAATTGTGATTGCGGCATGCGGAGATGGTAATGTCCCCATGCATGATCAGATAGTATTTGCCGTGGTTCGTGACAGGTGCACGTTTTGGGTGTGAGCATAAACACAGTGAACGACAGCAGTGCGTCAGGAGATCAACATGGGGAGCGGGGTATAATTTGATGCAAGTTGTGTAGCAAGAAGGTGGATAGCCATGTGTCTGTGATCGGTGAGGGGGCAGAAGGTCTTTTTATATGTGTCCCGCCCGAGTAGGTTCTGGAAGAGAAGAAGCTTGGGGGAATTCACCTGCACATCATACTTCGCCCATGNNAGGACAACCAACGTACTCACATTGTTATGTTTTNGAGTCCATGAGTAAACAAAAACATCGTTGCTCTGGCTGCTGAGCTCGCGTGTTCTTTGACTGATATGAGGAGATCGTGCACTGTCGGCGTCTCCCCTTTGCGGGTNNTAATTTTATTTCAACCAAAGACGGTGAGCGAGTCCTGGACTCNCTGGCCTTAACCCCAGAGGCAAGAACATGGAGAAGCGANGAACGATTCAGGAGGGCACGATTGGTCAAGACGTCATGCAATTCNGAGCTTTCCAGAGAAGCGGTAAACAAACACCAANNGACTCTAGAGCAAGTTCAGTCCGTTGCGATGCGATTCAAGTCTTCGATGATCTTCTTCTCGTTAGACAAACTATTTGATGAGAGACTCCACTTGAAGTCCCGGAGAAGCATCGATCTGTCAATTCAGATCTCATAGGAGAAGCATCCAGGGGCAAAAGGTCATGAGCCTGCAAACGTCGGGCTATACCATCGTGATACCGGAAACCAGCTTTGATTGTCACTCCCGCAAACGGGCGTGGAGCAGAGAGTTCCATGTTGAGTCTGATTGTTTTGGTTAGCCGTCACGTATTAAGATAGGACCAAGGTGGACGTTGATGATACGCAGCTGCCATGCGAATAGTCTGTGCGGACGTTGGAAATTGCGACTCTGCTACTTCAATTGACTCTCTGTCAAACGATCACGAATCGGTTTCGAATGCCCTACAAGACGGTGAGCTGGCCGAGGGTACAGTCGTGCAAGGAGGATATCAAGCAACTGGCACAAGGACGCTGCAACGTCTGACTCGACGTCGATAGCTTCGAAAGGCACTTTGGAGAAGGTGAGGTCGAGATTTCCAACTGTTTGTACGTGATTGGCTGAACCAAGTGCATTCGGCCCGTTGGAAGGTCCAAGAAAGAACCCGAAGAAGGGTTTGGTGGGAAAAGAAGGGCCCATTCCGCCCGACTGGCAGGCGAACTTTGCACGAAAGCCGGCATCTGCGTGGGTTCTCGACGATGCCGAAAGCCGACAGGTGGCAGGCACAAAAGATGCGCCCATGTGCGACATTTTTTTGCTAGTCTGTCAAGACACGAACGGAGGATATCCGCGGCCAAGAGTACCTACAATACAATGACGAAAAAGGCTTTGGCCGGGCATAGACGGGCAGCGCTGGATAGAGCAGAAAAGGCTTTGAGGATTACAGCCTTGGACGTATCGGAAGAAGCGTCGGAAGTGTCTAGTAACGGCCAACGGAGAACGAGGCGAACGTAGAATGTTGTGTATTTTGGCGGTCTTGGACGAACATCAGACTCGGCTGGGCCCTCAGCTCCCAGCACATGGCTGGCATGCCATGGGCATGAGAGTTTGAAGCTGTCCGCTGTCGAGAGATCTGTTTCAAACAAGTGCTAGCGTCTTGAATAATGTTGGGGCACTTGGGGGCGTCTGCCCACGCAAAGGCTGGAGAGAGAGAAGGGCACGAGCCGGTTGCCATGACAGCCCGGGTTTGGTTTTCGCAAAGCTACCTAATTTCCGCCTGCGGGAGCAGCCGGTGATAGAGCCCCGACCTTCGAAGACGATGCTCACTGTATGAAAGATGTTCTAGCTTACCAGTCGCAATTGACAATCACAACCGGAGAGCGGTCAGTAGCAAGACCAAGAAGCGTGACAGGAACGTGGCCAGCATAAGGCGAGCCAGGTGGTTTTGCAATTACGTCCTGGGGATCCAGATAGGTAGATAGGCAATATGAACAACGAAACGATTCGATGACCGTTCGACAAACGGGTGAATGACTGACAATGGGAGTATTATTTACCCCAAAGAAGGAGACNAGGAACCATAGAGGGCAAATTGGGGGAACAACCGTCGACGAACTGCTTTTTTTGNNGTGGGGACGTCATGATGGTCGCAGAGCAGGGGAGGGCAACTTTGTTTTACTGGGAGTTGCATGCAAGATGGCTAGCGACGGCAGGCGCGCAGCGAATCAAGATGGTACAGAAATGGAGAGGCTGGCGAGTGCGGCGGCATCATTATGTCACNNGGAACATGCAGAGAATGCGATAGGCGACTGTCGCGATGGTGGACGAGGCATCCTGA